TAAATTTACATCCAAGTTAGTTAGCATGTAGTGCAATAACGATTTGATTTCAGGAGTAGGATCCAGCGATTCATCCCCTACGTATAACACCCAGTGCTCATCCCAACAAGCGTCTTCCTTAATAATGCCCATCGCCCATTTAGCCCATCCTCCCACCCACAACCCCTCTAGAAACCCTCAGCTGGTTCTCTGTATTTAAGAGTCTCTTATGTGTTTATATTCTTTTTGCATCCCTTCCCTTATGTTCATCTGTTTCGTGTCTTAAATTCCATACATGAGTGAAGTCATATGATATTTGTTTTTCTCTAATTTCGCTTCACAGAATACACTCTCCTTGCATCTACGTTGTTGCAAATGGCAAGATTTCATTCTTTTTGATAGCTGAGTAATATTCCTCTGTGTGTGTGTGTGTGTGTGTGTGTGTGTGTGTGTGTGTGTGTGTGTATTCCACTTCTTCTTTATCCATTCACCAGTCGATGGACATTTGGACTCTTTCCATACTTTGGCTACTATGAACAGTGGGGTGCATGGGCCCAATAGAATCAGCACTCCTGTTATCCTTTGGATAAATACCTAGTAGTGCAATTGCTGGGTCGTAGGGTAGTCCTATTCTTCATTTGTTTGAGGAACCTCCATACTGTTTTGCAGAGCGGCTGCACCACTTTGCATTCCCACCAGCAGTGCAAAGGGGTTTGAGGAGATGACCTTTGAATGGAGACCTGAATGACAGGCAGGCAACGTGTGGAGACTTGAGGGAAGAGCAGGTCAGGCAGAGGGAGCATGTGAAAAAACTGTGAGGGGATAGTGAGTGCTGGTGTGTCTGAGGGACAGAAGGAAGGCCAGCATGTCAGAATGCAGTGGGGAGAGACAGAGGTGGGGCTGGAGAGCTGGCAGGACACGGGCCACAATGTGAGGGTCAGGAGTGGGGTTCACTCATGGCTGATGGGAACCACAGGAGGGCTCAGGCAGGAGGGGACATTCTCCGCTAAGCTTGAGAACGTCTGCTGTGGAGAACATTCTGGGGGAGAGGGGATAAGCCCAGATGCAGGAAGAGCAGGCAGGTGGCTGCTGCAGGGGACAGATAAGAGATGGAGGTCTAGGGGCACCTGGGTGGCTCAGTCGGTTAAGCGTCCGACTTCAGCTCGGGTCATGATCTCACGGTCTGTGAGTTCAAGTCCCACGTTGGGCTGTGTGCTGACAGCTCGGAGCCTGGAGCCTGCTTTGGATTGTGTGTCTCCCTCTCTGTCTCTGCCCCAACCCTGCTCATGCTCTGTCTCTCTCTCTCTCTCAAAAATAAACAAACATTAAACAATAAAATAAAATAAAAAGAAGAGATGAGGCATAGCCTCACAGGGCATGAACGGGGAGAAGAAACATGCTGGCGAACTAGATGTGGGTGGTGGGTGAGTCAAAGAGGCGTCAAGCAGAAGTTTCTGCACAAGCGTGTACTAGCACCGTTGACTGACGTCATACATATATGCCGTCATACGTGTAGTAAGCGGGTGCCACGCACAAGCCCCGTGCAACCACCTGCACAAATTGCCTCATTCATGTCTCGCACACAACCTACTGCAATTCTATCGAGAATGGAGCAAAACCTCATTGTCAACAGGACTAACTAGCTTGTCCAAGTTCATTCTGCAAGGCTGAGAGTCACGCAAGCTGGCTCCAAAGCCCACATATTTAATCTCTATGCTCAAATCAGTCATCACTGGTTGGCAGTGGAGAGCACGGAATGTGACAAATGCCCCCGCACCCTCCCTGAGAGGACCGGCCAGAGACGGCTGGACATTGGGTAACGAACAGGGCAGGACTTAAGCCCAGAGCCCATCCCTTGGTTTCCACCCTCCACTTCCTGTTTGGCCCCTCAATTTTGGGTGTCCAGGTGCTCCAAGGCCTCTGCTGTGTGGCTCTAGGTAACCACACCTGTTAACTTTTCCAGACATTTCTTCCTGCCTTCTCCCATCCCCAGCATTTTCCACTAGTGTTTCTCTCCGAAAGGCCTCGGCTAGGTGACTAGACATAATCTGATAAACATCAAGGTGAGACACTGGGAGGTAATAATGGTTCTCACGGGTTACAACTGCCGAGTAACAGAGATTGATTTTCTCGCCAACTCCGGGCTTTAAAACATGTTAAATTCACAGCAAAGTTGAAAGGCAAGTACAATTAATATGTACCTTCTCCTTAAGTCACTAATTATTAACATTTTGCCACATTTGCCCCCTCTCTCAGGAAGAAAACAGAGGTCAAATTCCAGGTCAGCCCTCAGAGGGCAGGAGTTAATGTATTTTCTTCATCTTTGTGTCCCCCAGCAGAATTCCGGACACAGAGGGATTGGTCAGTAAATCTTTGTTGAGTTGAATAAGTGAATGACAAATATTTATAGCAACAAGAAGGGTAAGATTTCCTGAGAAATGTTGCTGCCGAAACAAAAATTTGACAAATTTGCATATCTAAAAGGTAACACGCGGGGCGCCTGGGTGGCTCAGTCAGATAAGCGGCCTGCTGACTTCGGCTCAGGTCATGATCTCGCGGGTCCATGAGTTCGAGCCCGCGTCAAGCTCTGTGCTGACAGCTCAGAGCCTGGAGCCTGTTTCAGATTCTGTGTCTCCCTCTCTCTGACCCTCCCCCGTTAATGCTCTGTCTCTCTCGGTCTCAAAAATAAATAAATGTAAGAAAAAAAAATAAAAATAAAAAAATAAATAAATAAAAATAAAAGGTAACACACAAGTAGGAAAGAGAAGTATAATTTAGGCAAGACTTCATGTGCCAGTTACGATAATACATACTTACGTGCTTACCAATCCTTCTAATTTTTTACATGAGTCAGCAACATGCCCATGTAGCTAGGAAATGGAATGGATGGGACTTAAGTGCAGTTTTGTCTTATTCAAAACTTTTTCCTAAAGACACCACCAGAAATTTAGCAATATTAAATGAATCCCGTCATTGCTGAATATAGAATATGTAGAAATCTGTTGCATCTCCATACACTATGATAAAGTAGCACAAATAGAAATTAAGAAAACATTCCATTTGCAATTGCTCTATAAAGACTAAAATACCTGGGGGTGAACCTAATCAGGGAGGTGACAGACCTCAATGAGGAAATCAAAAAGAAATAAAAATATCCATAGAGACAAGAATGAAAACACACCGATCGAAAATGTTTGGAATACACACACACACACACACACACACACACACACACACAATGGAGTATTAGTCATAAAAAAGGATGAGATCTTGCCATTTGGGACAACACATATGGACCTTGAGAGTGTGATGCTAAATGAAATAAGTCAGACAGAGAAATTCAAATACCGTATGAATTAACCTACATGTAAAATTTAAAACACAAAACAAACCAACAAACAAAAAGCAGAAACAAGCCCATAAATGCAGAGAAGAAATTGATGGTTTCCAGAGGGGTGGGGGTAAGGAGATGGGTAAAATGGGTGAAGGGGAGAGGGAGGTACAGGCTGTAGTTATGGGACAAGTCATGGGTACAGCACAGGGAATGTAGTCAATGCAATAGTGTTGTATGGTGACAGAGGGTAACTGCATTTGTGGTGAGCACAGCATAACATAAAGACCTGTGGAATCTCACTGTGTAACATTGTACGTCCACTATACTTCCGTTAAAAAAGCAAACATACAAAAAACTGTTTTTCCCACTTCACCTTGTGACGATCATTTATCTATGTTTTCAGATTTCTCTGACCCCAGTTGGAATATGATTA